CGATCCCGATGACGGCGGTGCTCGCGGTGCTCCCGATCCCGGTGCTTGTGGTGCCGGTGCTCCTTGCCCTCCCGCTCCCTCTTCTCGCGCTTCTTCTTCTTGTTCTTTCGATGCTCCTTGTACTCGGCCATGTCGATGTGGTTGTTGTTGCTCTCGGCGGACTCGGCCTCAGCGGTGGCCGCCATGCTCACCATGGCGGCGGTGAAGTCCACCAGAGCGGCGCCCGATGTGGCTGCCACCGCGACGGCCGGAGCCACGTCCATCGGCTGCGACTGCGACTGCGAGGTGTCCATGGTGTCCATCATCATCATTTTGGCCGCTCCTCGCCCCCGTCTTCTTTGCGAGAGAGCCAGGTTGCCGTTGCCGTTCCCGTTGCCCTCTCTCTGTCACCGTCTCTTGGCTCTACCCGATTCCGCTTTGCGCTCTGTAATTAACTGGACAGGCTCTCAGTTCTTCAGTCTTTTTGGATGTTTCTTCTTCGACGGCCTTTGTTGTTGTATCGCTTTCAATATTATTATTTTGTATGCTGCCTGTATTCACGCGCACTCTCACACACACTCGTACACACAATCACAAAATCACAGCGCATACGAGAGAACCACCTCCGCCGCTCTCTCCCGTTCTTGTTGTTGTTGTTGTTGTTGGGGTGAATAACTTGCGTGGCGGCGACTAGGCTGCTCACTCTCTCGCTCCCTCTCTCACTTCTTGTATCGTGTCGTATCCCTTTCTCGCGCACACACAGTCGACGTTTAAACTTTTTTCCTCAGCGAAACTCAATTTCTTTTAAATGGAAACTTGGCGTTATTTTTTGTTGGAAAGCCATGTGAGAACGCAGCTGCGGCCACGTGAATATTTTTTTCACAAACACAAAATAATATTAAAGCGGAGGTGTCACCCACACGCACACACACAGACCCGCACGCTAACCGAGTATCAACAAATTATCCACTGTATTTCTGGTTCACATGCACGGAGGCTGCAGCGTCGGCGGTGCTGCATGGCCATAGGTAATCTACAGAGACTATAGTTGCTGCATGGTCGTACGGAGTTCGAAATTCGAATAAACTCGCCAGTTTTCATCCGTGCGCTTAGAAGCTATACTGCACGGCAGAGAGCCGGAGAGAGCGCGCCAGCAGAGAGGGCCGCGCTCTCAGAGAGCCGCGTTGCATTATTGTTGTTGGTTGGCAGCCGGTTTTCCGTGGGGGATTATTGAAACGTCTGTATGTATTGTTGTTGCTCGTGCGCCAGTGTGAGTGTACGTCTGCACGTAGGCCAGACGCACACTCGCACGCACACACCGGTGTGCAGACGGTAAAAAAACAGAAGAACACACGGGGACAGCATAAAAATAAACATTCGTTCGTACAAACATACACGGCAGTAGAGTAGCAAACAGAGGCACAAGAGTTAACTGGAAAAACGTTACCCAGTCAGCATTGGGGGGTGGGATTAAGGTACTTGAGAACAATTAGCCAGGTGCAAATTTATTCAAATTCAGAAGTCCACCGATAACTGTTGAAGGCCTCCGCTAACCATTCAATCCTATCGCGGCGTCGAAAATGTTGGGTGTGCAACGGTTTAACGCAAATACACAGAAACATATCACTTCTCATTACATTTTTAAACAAACCCCTGCATTTCAATTGGATATTACAAAAAATTTCAAAATTTATCAACATAAAATGGAATTATAAATCTGATAAAATCCATAACAAAGATAACTTCCTTACTAAATTTTAACTAATTTGAATATTTTTTCCTGTGTAAAAGTGAATCTTTCAGATAGCAGCCCACTATCTCTTTCCCTCTCACTCTCTCTCTCTCCGGGCAACAAATACAGATTCGGATCCAAATGCAAGCAAACAACAACAACTGCATGTCGTAATGCTGTTGATGTAATAAAAAAGAGCGCAGCAGCAGCTACAACAATGTAATGACCAGGAAGAGCGATGGCAAAAGAAAAGCTTAGCAAAACAGAAATGTGACAAAGAACAATAAATTAAAAGGAGACTGACCAAGTTAGTAGAAGCTGAAATCTAACTGGAATTCCTGGGCCAGGAAAATACCTGTTATTCGATGCAGTAATAGTGCTTCGATTTTATGGGGCCCATTAAATAAGGATAAAGCCACGGCTATAAATTTAGAACTGCGGGCATAATTATGTTGTTGCTGTTTTTATGGGTTATGAAGTTAATTGGTTTGTTAAATCATTTTCAAAGCTTACACCGAAGACCTTTGAGGGGAACAGTTCAAATTGGTACCATAAACTTACTTTTCTTATTAAGGTCAGAATTTTTTCTTGCTCAACTTTTCCTGTTTTCAATTTGAATGTTAATGTAGAATTTTAAAGTTATTTTTTAATAAACATATAAAATAAATGACATTTTTTAAACTTAGTTTCATATGTATCCACATTGCTTCTAAATTTGTTTGCTGCATCTATTGCCTGTTGCTATAATTTTGACCTTTGCTATACTAAAACTGTTCCCAGTAAGTGTTGCCCAAGAACAGTTTCCGTACTGAGAGAGTAACGAGAGAGAGAGCACAGCGAGAGAGCGTTGCAACATAGATATTTGGTTGTGTGTGCTTTATGCAATACCCATCAACGAGAGAGCGAGACAGTGAGTTAGGGGTGGGGGTGGGTGGCGATTGCTGCATGCAGGTTAATTCTACTCTCACTGCTGTTGTTGTAGCTGTAGTTGTTGTTTTTGTAGTTGCCAGACAGCGATTCAAGAAGACAAAACAGGAAAATGAAAAATAATTGAATTGTAAGGCAATGTTTACAGGAGAGGAGAGCGAGAAGGAGACACACACAGAGAGAGAGAGAGGGGAATCGCCACCGCAGACATTTGCAATTGGCAATAAATAAAAGAAGTGCAAGAAGAAGAAGCAGATTGTTTGCAGCTGGAGCGGGAAGAGGAAGCAGAATGCCGAGCATAATTTGCGATGCAAATAAAAGCCCAAAAAATCATGGTGCAGAAAAGCAAAAATGAACGTTAAGTGGCATTTACCTGGCGACGGGGCAGCGGGGGAGGGGCTGGGGCTGGGTGAACGTGCCTGTTTTACAAAACAAACAAATCCAACAAAAGCCAAGGGGGAGTCATTGGGGTTTTGGGTTGGGCTGTGGGCACAAATGTTGCCGTTGCAACATCGCGACCGTAATCGAATCACCAGAAAGGTGCCAAAGGAACAATGGCGCCGTCTTCGTCGCCGGCTGGAAAATTAATTTACTACAGGCATAACTCCGCAGCACGAACATTCTAAACATAACAGTTTTGAAGGTTCGAGATCTGTACATAGTATGTACTACATACCTCGGCTGCACTCCAAAGATCCTTTCATATGTTCCTCTTAATGGTAACCCATGTAAGTAATTTTAAACATTTTAAGAATGTATTTAATATCATTATTATAAATTATTTCCTCAACGATTTAAAAGATTTTTCTTTTTAAATGTTTCATTTTAAGAGTAACTAAACACTTTGAAATTCTACTGTAATTTTAATACGCAGCTCAAAGTAGTGCCCCCATAGCGGCTATTAAATGTCTGTTGGTGAAATTTCCTTGTCACTGTGGCAAGGATTTTGGTATCCATAATTAACAGACCCTCTACCGTAAAGCACCTAAACATGCATTAATTAGTGCAATCCCTGGGCTCAGACAGGTGATGCTTTTAAGTCTCGACAGTGGCGGGTCGTTCAACCCATAAACAAATTTAAAAAGAAGTTTACCAACAACCGGCAGTGTGTGCAGCACTCAAGGAATCAAATGAATTGTGCAAATATTGATCCAGGCAACGTTTTTAGCTTTGCACACGCCACTAAGCAAACCCATTTAGTACGCACTATTGATCATCAAGAGAAAAACAGCAGGGTAAGTTCAACCGTTTCAAAAATCAAATTAAAACAAAAATGTCAACAGCCAAATATTTGAACAAGTGGCAGTGGCAGCCGTAAGAGTATTATAATAGGGGTGAGACTAACTGAAATTATAACAGCTCTATTAGACCAGAAATATGTGTAAATTTCAGTTTCCTAACGACAGTGTTAAATATGATAAAGATATAAGATGCCAAATTTTCATCTGTTACAGGTACATATTCCCTATCTGAACATATATACTTCTGTTTCTGTTATAATCTTTTACTCTCAAGTCGGAAAGCTCTTAACATAAAATGTAAAATTGAATTTCAAATGACAACATTAACATGCATAATAAATAAACGTCAAAAATAAAACCATAATTAATAAATTGATGGTATATGCATGCCTTTAAAACACATTTACGGCTCTGTAACTGTACCGAAAGATAAATCTAGAGACCTTCGTCAAGAGTCACCGAAAAAAGGAATAAAAAGGCGACACGTGTCGCACCCAAGAATTTGTCAAATTCAGGCAACACGCGACTCGGAGGTTCGCTAAAAACTCAACAACCCACACGCACCCATATAAGGTGTTGTTGCTCGGGTGACCCGGCTTTTTCAAGGAAAGGAACTCGCCAACGAAGCGGGTGAGTTAAATTAATTGCCCCAGGAAAAACGTATTTGTCGATGTGAGTTTTATGGCTGTTTAAGAGGAACTGGCCAAATGAAATGCACATCAAACGGCTAACTTACGGAGGCAAGATCATAAAACAAACCCTCAGCCGTGTGAGGGTGTCGTAAAAAAGTAGTTTTATTGTATGTATATAAGGCAGCCAGCACGTGTAATTCCCAGTTTTTTCCCTCGACATTTGACAACCGCTCATAATTGAAACAGTCAAGAGGAACAAAAATTATAAATTATCACCCGCCCATCAGCGGGTAGATTTTTAAACACCAACTTTCCACCACTATCAAAGGGCAGGGTACCCATACCACCGCAACAATATTGAAAAGCCAGCTTGAGGTCCTTCCGTTTCCTGATTTTTTGTGTGCTTCCCAGTTCTCAGACAACCCCCCATGGTTCAATTTGGACTTCACAATCGGTGGCTAGAATGAAACTCAGCAGTGAGTCGCTCAAAACTGTCAGTCTGTGGCCAAACGGTTCCGTTTCGATGCGGTTCCATTCTAACCCCCGCCGAATTGTGGGACAATTTAGTTCGTAATGTGAAATCAATAAGTTGTCCATTAAATGCATGCCAGTCACGTAATGCAATAGATATCATGTACATTTGATTGCACATTGTGTCATTACCAGAGCAATCGAATGTGTCACTTCCTGATTTAATCAATCAATCGCCTTTTCTGTAACATCTCAAAGCGGTCGAGTAGGTAAACAAACCCCCTGGAAAACCTTGCACTCGTCTTCCGCGAACCGAAAATCAACACAACCACATGTTCTCTATCCCAGCGTTATAGTCATATTCGATCCGGTATACAAATAGTCGCAGACTTCAACAAGGCATAAATCTATTCGCACCATTGAACGCGCGAAATTAAACATTAATAACGTACTAGAAAAGCCATATCGAATAAAATATATCTCCCAGTATATTTAGAGATCATCGGCGTAGTCAGCAAAAAAATATTCGTGCTCTGTTTGCTCGTCAATTCTTGTGTTTTTGAAGTGCCGTGTGTCATATGCGAAACAATTTCAAAAACGAATCACTCGAAAATAGACGCTGACTCTGAAGGTCTATAAATATTCTCGCCAATCGAAACAAAAACTAACATAAACACACCTGGCAGAAGGCGTTTTATTTAATATTTATGAGTGAGAGAAATATATTAAAACAAAAAATAATTTATTTAGTTTGGCAAGCCCCATGGCAACGTATTTTCGTGGTCAACGTCACGGAGCATAAGAGATACCTATACGGTTGGGATGCCGGGGAATTAATAGAAATGTGAATAATGCCTGCAAGTGGATGTGGGATGTGTCAAAAAATATAGTTCCTAAGTGCGCGACTTTATTTTGAGAGGTGGGTTCCTTAAAGTGCATTAGAAATAAGCACTTTGCTTTCGGGTTGTGAAAACACTCTCTTGAGTGACTCACACATTATACAACACTATCAGCAGGCACGTGTTATAAATATTATAATATAACTAAGTATTTTGTCAACAATATATTGGAATCGGACGATCTCTTAAAATTCTCTCTTGAGTGAGAGTTTTGAGTGGTGTGAAAAGCTTTTGGGTCAGCTGTGTTAGGCATTTTGGCATCATATTTATATTTAGAAAATCATTTGGATACGGTTATGGAACATTTCGAATGTTTTTCTCGAGAGGCCAATACACACACCCAAGGATTTATTCCTGTACGTATGTATATAGAGAACTTTTTGTGCGTATGTTGAGCAATTATTTTTCACGATGTTTGTCGGCCGAACTGGCTATATATAGACCAGATGAGGTGGCTCAATTCGAACCGAATCCCCCGAAACAAACTGAACTGAACTCAACCCAAACACCCACCCACCGGTCATTCCAACCAGGTAGCCTCCCATTTAAATGCAGAATTCTCAGGTATGCACACCCAATTAAATCAATTAAAACTACGAAAAACCATTTCGAAATCATTTTGTTTTCATGGAACCCACTGGGGCATATATTATTGGATGTTATGTGTGTGTGTATGCAGAATATGTATGCTGATATATATAAATATTTTATATCTGCCATGGCTCGCATAGGAATCAGAATGCAAGAGATTAGATGGGTGAGAAATCATTCAAACATCATTATAAATAATCAGATTTCATAAGTATAACGTATGAACTAAATCAGCTAAATATACAACATCATATCTTTCATCATTGTTCGTCGTAAGAGTATATAAAATTTGTCAATTCGCACAAGGTATGCTTTTTGGGTATTTCGGTTTGGAGCATATAAGACATACTTGGCTGGTCATCGAAAATAGTTAAAAATACAAAAGAGTAATAACGACTTTGGCTCGCAGTAGTCGCTTCCTTCGTTTGTGCGGTGACTGTACCTGCAGAAAGTTTGGCCTTTCTCGCTGTGGTTAATGTCGCTTAGTTCGTTAGTCAGTTTTCGATGGTTAGTTTCGCTTTGAGTCGTAAGTTCTTTTGGTTTCAGTTTTAAGTTTTCAAGTTTTTTTTTCATTTATTCTTTTTCTTGTTTTCATATTAAACTTATTCTCACATAACCTAAAGAAATATGGTTTGCATTCACTGCATCGTTGATCAAAAATCGTTGGAAGCAAAACGAAGACTAAGTTAGCTAATTTCAGGGATAGTTAGTTAAAACAGACAGGTCATTAGACAAAAGTATCGGAACGGTTCACAGACATGGATGTGGGTTTCGATTAGGTATACATAAACTCGTTTAGAACGTTGTCAAAGCGCCCGCGCCCAGACCGTAGCCCACGCCCTTGGGTCCGAAGTTGCGGCCGTAGCAGGCTCGGCAGTAGATGTCGCCGTCGGGTCCATCGTTCAGATTCGTCGAGTCCAGCGATTTGCGGCAGTCCGAGCAGTAGAAGCACCTCTTGTGCCAGATCCTGGTCTTGCTGATCATCTGCTCGGCGGCGAACACGGCGAAACCGCATCGCGGGCATCCGCCTGAGGTCTTCGCTCCGGCCAGAGGACGGCCATCTGGGAACTGAATGGTGCTTTCGCCACTGGTGGACACCAGGGTGGGGGCATGGCCGTAGCCGAAGCCCTTGGGTCCGAAGAGCTTTCCGTAGCAGGCACGGCAGTGGATGTCGCCATCGGGTCCATCGCAGGCCAGAACCGAGTCCAATGGCCGGTGGCAGTCGGTGCAGTTGTAGCATTTCTTGTGCCACACCTTGCCCTTGGACAGCTGCTGCTCGGCGGCGAACACGGCTCCTCCGCATCGGGGGCATCCCTCGCCCTCACGAGCCTTGATCGACGTCGTGTCCGCGTTGTAGAAGGGCCTGTTGGCGCTGATCTGATCCTCGGTCAGGCCATCCGTCTGCAGGAAGCCAGAGCCGCAGGCGAATCCATAGCCGTGGGGTCCCCACTTCTTGCCGTAGCAGGTGCGGCAGTAGACATCCTTATCGGGACCATCGCTGGCATTGATCGAGTCCAGCGTCTTGTGGCAGTCCTTGCAGTTGAAGCACTTCTTGTGCCACTCCCGGCCCTTGGAGAGCTTCTGCTCGGCGGCGTAGACCATGCCACCGCATCGTGGGCAACCCTCACCCGGACGGGCTTGGATCTTGTCCACATCGATAGCGGCACGAATTTGGGGTGCTCCGTCGTCGTGAGCATAGCAATCGGACTGCAGAGCACCACCGCCCTGGCCATAACCATAGCCCTTGGGTCCAAACTTCTTGGCATAGCAGCCCTTGCAGTAGATGTTCTTGTCCGGAGCCTCGCAGCACAGGATCGAGTCCAGACCCTTCTTGCAGGTGCCGCACTTGAAGCACTCCTTGTGCCAGCCGCGTCCACGGGCAAGCATCTGTTCGGCGGCGTACACATAGCCTCCGCAACGGGGACATCCCTCACCTTCGGGGGCACGAGCAATAGCCCTGGGTTCCAGACGGGCTCCGTTCCTCACAGATGGCCCATCGCCGTTCTCGCGCAGGAACTGTGAACCATTGTCCATGGAGAGAGTGCCCGCTCCAGTACCGAATCCGTATCCCTTGGGTCCGTACTTGCGACCGTGACACGTCTTGCAGTACAGCTCACGCTCGTGCTCTGTGCAGTTGGTGGAGTCCAGAGATTTGTTGCACATTCCGCACTTGAAGCAGTCCTTGTGGAATGCATAGCCGCCAGCCAGACGCTCCTCGGCGGCGTAGACGCTCTTGCCGCAGCGCGGGCACTTGGGGGCCTCGATCGGTTGGAAGGAAGGCATTATGTCTGTGTATCGGTTTAGTTAACGCTATCGAAATGATCTACTCGAGTACAATTACTATACTTATTAAGTTTATTATCTGAAAGTGCAGAAAAAGAACACATAGAGTCGATGGGATCGTTGTGTGGTTATTCTGCTTTAAAGTGCAAGGCGGAAGTTTCAGTGGTGATGAAAGCGACGGATGAGGTAAGAACCGGCCTTTTTTTAACGCAACATTTACTTTTGAGGTTTCGCACTCATAGAGGTTATCTATATTCTGTCAATTTAAAATTATGCAAGCCCTACAAATAATCGCTTTTGATGTCAACTATATTCAAAATATTCGAATTTCGATTTTTTAGTCGACCTAATAGGTTTGTCACTTTATGTGAGTTTCTTGTTAATTTTTAAATTTAAATAGTGACAGAAAACATGACAAAAAGTTTAGGTCAAACATGAACAAGCATTTCTCTGCTTTAACTTGCATAGGTTATTAGGGATTTCTTATAAGGCACATGTACGAAAACCTATATAATTAGAACGGCTCGTCACTTGCGATTGTTTCTGCTCATGTTTTTAGTATACCATTTAAACTTCAACATGACGGTCGACAATTTTCTCCTCAATTTTCATTATGTAGATCATCTATCAAAATTCTTATCTGTCAGTCGAGACGTCATCGCCTGTGCCAGAAAATTACCCAACCGGACGTATACGTAATACATATATAAGATTTTTATGTTAATGATCAGAGAATAACATCTTTCTCACAACAAAAAATAAAGAAGGAATTTTTGAATCACAGAAAACAGAGGAAAACATGAGCAATAAATGTGTATCTATACAGAATATTTCGATAAAAATAACGCAGACAGGTAGAAAGATTTGGGAAAGCACACACAAAAAATGACCGCCACTATGACAGATATATATCTGGGTGTACTAGAACTGAGTCACAGCTAAAGCAGCACCAATAGATAATCTTCCCTGGCCGGTAATCTAGCTATCTAGCGGTTGCGATGGATTAGTCAGGTGTTTTGCAATGGTATGTAATATCGGTTGAGAGCTGGCGATATCTATCTACCCGATGGGGGTGGAGGTGCACCTATTTGACGGGTTAGAACGGAACCTACAACGCACTTAAACCACACACGGAAGCGCCGAGTACTGAACTGGAAGATTGCTCAAAGCAAACTAGTCTATATAATTGTGAGTGCACACGGCACGGCACGGCGGTCGACTTTTCGCCGCTGCCACCGAGTTTTCCTGCTCAGTTCTGAGTTGAGAAACTTTAGATGCGGCAACACGGAGCAGTTTTCCTTCGATTCATTTCAGTTTTCATCTAATATCGCCAGAGAGTGGGATGGAAATATAATGGTATTGGTTGAGTCTGCGGTTTATCATCTTTTTTTTTCGCTTCTTGGTTCGAAAAGTTTTTCATTCCTCGTTCTATATTCGCTTCTTCTTGCCCGTTTTTCACTTCTTTTTTATGTTTGCTATCTTTTGGGGAAAATGTTGTGCGAACATTTTTTCCCCTGGGGGAGCGCATCGCAGAAGATCGTAAAGATTCCGTTGCATTTTTTGTTGGGTAGTTCATCAAATCCCCTATTTCCTATCCCCTATTTAATTTAATACTTTAAACAAAAAACTTAAAATTAAACCCTTGCAACGTTTAAGAGTCATTAATTTTGTAGAATTACTAAAAAGGAGCTCTTTTAAAACGATATGTTGCCTTTAATTTACAATAAACGACTGGGTCTTTTTTTTCTAGTATAGCGCATAAAATTGTCTAAAGATAACGAAAAAATCAAGGTAATTCGATTTGTTATGATAAATGATAAAATTCAATCTATCCTGTTCACTATAACGAGGTAAAAAAACTCCTCAAAGACAATTTTCATTTCATTGAGTCAAACAGCTGCGGAAAGTTTTTCCACATAAAAAAACGGATTCTATAAATAATAGTGTGTGGGAAAAATGCTTCCTCTGTGGAGCCATACATTCCTCTCATTTGTGGGTCAAATTATGGTCCACATTACACACAAGTTCTAAAATTAAACGATCGCTTGACAAACTGTATGTTATTTGCTTCAGTTTATAGCAGCTCTAACCGATATTTTCAGGTGAATACAACACTAAGACTTTGACATATTGGATTATGTGCGGTTGATGATTAGAGTTTTTCCGTTAGTAGAAGAACTGATATTTACTTTTCGTTCGTAATAATAAGGTTCGCAAGAGAAATATCCTTAATTTTAGTTTAGCTTCGATTAACGATTTTCGACTGATCGCGCTGAAAAATTTGTCAAGCGCTTTGAGTCTTCGTCTGCACACGGCACGAAGGCGACGATGTCGCCAGAGAACACGATAGGGATGACTATATAGCCACAACAATAAATATGTTACCGACCAGAACAACAAAACCCAACAAATCACAAAATATCTGCTCTCACGTATATGCCCCTGTATATATAAAATGTGCTTTTATAAATTTTATAAACGAACATTTTCTAGAAGAATATTCCAGGTGGAGGTGCTCATGACAAGGCGAAAATAATGGATGTTGGTGTTTTATTGGATCGACAACATGGTTCAACTGTCTTGTTCAAAGCCACTGTCTGTCTGTCTTTCCGTCCATCGGCACTTCAACAACATCAATAAATTAACATGCGCATTTGCATTTAATTAAAATTCGATAATATTTTACCATGCATTTTTGGTTCAAAAGGAAATTAATGGGGCATGGGTACATCATTGGGCATCAATCAACTAGGAAAAATAGAACCAGACATGGCGAGGACCATATTCGACCAAAAAGTACCCTTCGAGACAGATACAACATTCATAGGAAGATAGGCAGTACCTAGTAAATTAGTTTTATTGCTTAATCGAAGTATCCTTATAAAATTAAATACCTCAAAAAATACATTAGTCCAGCAAAAAATAAATCAAAAAATTTAGATTTTTTAGATTAGATCTAAAATAAATCCGTGTATTTTGTACTCTTACTAAGAGTTTAAAAATAAATCTACCAGGAAACCCCACAATCCAAGAGGTAGCATAGAAAAACACGGAATTCTTTTCAAATCCAATCGGGTGTGTAACACCTTTTGTATAATTACCGCGCACCTTGCGCTTTCGACAGAATTTCTTTAAACATTTTTAACATGCATGTGTAATTGCATTTTCCACTTATAAATATGATACGAAAATTGGCAAGGCGCCTGCGTTCAAAACTGTTGATGAGTGAAACAAATATAGTTGTACAAAAACATCTGAATATTCTCTCTATCCTACTCTTTTCGTTAGATCAGAGAACAACTTTATGACATGTTGTACACAAGTGTATAGGATAATGGACAACATCATTCAAGCTGCAACATTGTATTGACGGAAAGAGTGGACGATTTAAGAGATTTTTTAAATAATGAACTCAAGAGATCCCAGAATAAGTGGCTCAAGAGGCAAAAAGCTCATAAATTACTTGACCAATCTTTTGGTACAGTAACAAAATTGTTTATCAGTCTATTTAAAGATTATATTCTTAAAGATAAACAATGAATAATCGAACTCACCCTCTTGGAGCTCTTCTCGATTTCCTTCTCAAAGTCTGTTAGCGGTGTCAGTGCTACATGAACATCTTTGATATCATACCGGGACATTAGGCTGCAGATGCAATGAAAAATGTAATTAGTATAAATAACTTTTTATGAATTTGATGTAAATAGATAAAGGTCTAATACGAGGTTAGTTTATCATAGTTTTCTACAATTAATCAAAATTAATTTAAATGTGGCTTTTAATTTAAATAAAATTACAAAATATACTCAAATGGTCCGGTTTCTCAGCAAGAAAAAAAAATGTTAAGGTGCACGGCGAAAACATGTACTAAACATTGTAAAGTTTAGGATTTAATGCCATAAGTTAATTTAGCTCAAACGAAAAATTTAGTTCTATAATATCAACTATGCTAGAAATATGGTATACAATTTTAACATTGCTATTTCTTTCCTTGAAACCAGACCTCACAACTATTTAACTAACAAATTTTGAAAAATGTGAATTGTATAAGACCTTTTCTTTGCGATTCTCGTTCCCCACCTATTGTTATCGTCGGAGCCAGCTATGGATACATTACTGCTAGACTTGGCAGAGTCTGCCTTTCGTTTTTTCGATGTCGAATTAGAGGAGTTGCCAGAGGAAAGGTTCGTAGATGACAGATTGCTCGCCGCCGATGACGACGAGCCTCCCTTATTGGTGCTTAAATTAGTGGCCGCACTGGAGGATACGCCACCCAAGCCCGGCGCTATTGCTCCGGTTGAATTACTCGTAGACGATCCAGCGCCTGATATATTCTCTCTTTCGGAATTTGAATTATTACCAAATCCGGAGGAATCGTTTAAAGCCGAGTTTGATGATGTGCTCCCCGTTCTTAATTCCGATCCAAAACCAGAACTACTGGTGCTGAGATGAGGATTGCTCAGATTACTGGCTGACTGTTGCTTTCCGGCTGTACTTCCACCTCCTGCTCCATTTGTGCTAAGATTATGGGCATGATTTGAGTGCTCATTGGTTGTGGAGGCAGTGGAGTTAATTCCACTGGCGGCCGAACTGCTCACATGGGTCCCAGTTCCCCCCAAGCCACTGCTAGCTGTTGAAGTGGACGAACTGGGGTGGGTGGTTATACTGCTGGTTGTGCTCGTGCTACTGGTGGCACTTGGTACTTGAATAGAGTCTTTGTTCTTCGAAAGCTTTGATGAGGATTTCTCTCGTGTCGACGATGAGTTTGATGATGTTGATGAGGCTGATGAATTCGAGAAATTGTTATTAGCTGAATGGCTTGCGTTATCTTTTCCATCCTTATCCTTGCTTGAGGTGGATTTGCTTAAACTTTTGCTATGTTTTTCCTTATAGCTACTGCTACTACTACTCGAACTGCTGGCCGATGATTTTGTGGTGGCTGCTGGCGTCGACGATTGACTGGCCGTCGATTGCGTAGCCCCACTGCTGGATGCGGCTACGTTTGCTCCACTGGAGCTTCCACTAGCCACGTTTCCAGTACTGCTGGCAGATCCGCTTCCTACCGCCAGCGTATTGCTTAAATTACTGCTACTATTGCCGATGGTATTACTACCGCCTGGTAGTAAACTGCTTCCAGCTGCCAGATTGCTTGCACTTCCCGAGTGCGCAGAACTCGAGGAGGGGTTGGCAGCCACTCCCGTTGAGGACGATGAGCTGCTGCTACTGCTGCTCGACGATTTTCCGGATGTATTGCTTTTGCGCTGCTTGGAGGACGATGAGACGCCACTTCCACTGCCGCTTCCCCCGGAAATTCCAACACTGGAGCTAGCATTCAAAGCACTGCTGCTGCCGCCACCACTGGTATTGCTGCTGGTGATCTTAATGCTCGTCGCTGAAGTCGCTGCAGAGTTCATGGTGGAATCGATTTCCTTCTCGGGCGACGAACACGAATCGGAAGAGGTGTCATGTTGAATGGGTTTATATGGCGGTATGGTTTTGACGTTGCCGCCCTTTTTCTGCAAAGTATCAAGAATTTGAACGGAAAAATCATGAATGCTATCCCTCACATACGCACCAGTTTGCTGTAATGGTGCTGACAGTAGCCGCAGTATTTCACGTTATCCAGATAGTTTCCCGCCTCCTCGCAGAGCAAACCAAGGCTCTGGGCACAGGTGACGTGAAACTGCTGCTTGCAGTTTGATTTGTTGCACTGCATACAAGCGCCGACGTTGGCACGATTTGGTTTGCCAATCTCCTGGCAAATATAGCAAGCTGAAAAGGTAAGATTTTAGATAATTAAAAGTTGGATCGGGATAATTTAATCGCACTCTAAACCATCACTGACTGGTTGAAGTCAATAAATATAACACAAATTTCACATAATTCAACTTATAACACTCACTCCTTGAATACCGCTCCGTCGGTATTAATGACAATATGATAGGCTCCATGGTGGTTACATTCCCAAACCGCACCTCTGGGATGTATAAAGCGCAGACGACGTGGGCCCAGCCGCTGTTATCTGTCTTCTTGAGGGCTCCATCCCGCGAGGGACATAGTTCGCATCGGACCCTTGAGGTTCGCTCCTGGGACTCGCACTTGCGGCAGTACCAGGGACCCGTGGGAACCGTCACAATGCCGTAGCACGCCTGGTGCACTGCCACCGTACAGTTTTGGCCGTCACAATAGACGAGCGGGTTCTCCGGCCACCCCCGCTCGTCCGAACAAACGCAACATCCGCCCACCATCTCCTTCATATCGTCTAACTTAAACTTTTTAATCTTGACCAGTTTCTTGTTCAAGCTTGTGGAGTGAATGGTGTCGTCTTTGCTGGAGTCAAGCTCCAGTTTTGCATTGAATGAAGACGGAATTTTGTTGGAGCTGCAAGTATAAAGAGGGTTAAATTAGATCCACCACTAACAACAGTAACAGTACAAACAATAATCCAAAGTTATTACCATCCCATTATTTTCCGAATTAAATTTTGAGTTTCCCTTTAGGTTATGACTATTAAAAACCATTTTTAACTATATGTAAAGTAATCATATAAAACTTCTGTACTTAAGTATTGAGTTGGAGGACAAAACTTGGCGATCCTCTTGGGTCAAGCCGGGTTACAATAAAAAGTAGATCTTGGCGGATAAAACTATCGACTATAACTGTCATTTTCAATCCGTCCTTATCTTGACTTTCAGTAATCTCATCCAACCTAGTTTCAGAACACCCCCAAAGTTGTTTGCTCAAGATGGGGAAGGACGTTCACAATCGATTAGAGATAAAATGTTTACACCTGAGAAGTTATCGATCTTGAGATTGAGGTTCCGGCCTTTCTCGTTATCGACGATAGGCAGCTATCGATGCAGGTGTCAATTGGCAAGGTCATTCGACAATAATAACAACACCAGGCACCTAGCTTGTGAAATATTACTTAATAGTGCACATGTATTTACAATTTTACCTTCCCAGTGAGAGCGAGCGAGATGGCACATGGGCTCCATTCGCAAAACATTTACACGCACATACACAATCTCTCAATGTCAAGGTAATTTCGGTGCTGTTTAATAAACCAAGCGAATTTTATGTCGAATCATTTAAATAATGATGACAGTAAACATAAATAGCCGCGATGCCACCGAATATTGATATGATATTTTATCACAGCTATAAAAACCACAAATTCTTTTAGCGTTCCCAAAGCGGGCAACGCACGCACACACACACACTCTCGCAGACGGCATTCCGTGGGCTGGTTCATTGAACTTGAATAAAATGGGCTACCAAAAATAAAACAGGAAAATGCAGCCCTACTCCGACTTCAATTGGAGGCCAATTTGGTCCCACTGTGCGAGCGAGAGCGAATATGTGGGTCGCGGCATCTGCATCTGCCGAGATTTCACAACAATAATAACGGCATGCGGGTGTTGTTTCTGTTCCATTCATGCATGCGCATCTGTATGCGGGAGAGAAGAGGGCGAAGGAGAGTGTATACCGGGTACCGTTATTGGGTCAGCGTGTTGCCAACTGCCGAAAAACGCAGCCAGCGTGTTGCCAACTGCGCGATAGCTGGAGTTAACGGTGTAAAAGCACACACACTTGGGCACATGAAACGAGGCCGCTCTGCACGTTGCTTTTGTAATGAAGAGCAATGCACTTTCGACGCAAACACACACTCAGACAGAACAGATACATACAGACGCACGCGGGGAGATGCTAGATGTATGTACACAAAAGGCCGGAAAAGGGGGCGCGTTTTTGGGGGGTGGAATGCGGGTGGGTGAACCATGTACTTATACATATACCCCATTTAAAACATCCTTCGGGGGAGTGTTTGGGGACTGGAGGGTGGTTTCTTCCAGTTTCCGCAATTTGCCTCTTAAAGCACTGGTTAAATTTCCGTCAAATTGTGTGTATACACCCGTGGGTTGAATTTATTGATTTTTATGGGCAATTGCTTTAATTTCACTGGCCAGCAGGGCTTTAAAACGTCATCAGCGGTGTGCCACCAAACAAAAAACTAGTTTCACGGCGGGGAAAAATGCGCGCGGTCAAAGTGGTCAAGCAACGCACAACAAAAACAGAAAATATCTCTTTTTTTTCAGGGAGCGGTCCACCGAAAACTTGAAATTCTTCCGACTTTCTTGTTATTTTCACGCAGCGGTTTCTTATTGGCCGCTTACACCCTCACAGAATATTGATTTTCTCAATTTCTTTACCCGAATCGGCACTTGCAATAAACGCTTCTCAGCCCCGCAGCAGTGGCGTTGCGTTTTTCCTGCTTTTCCTTTGGCTTTTCCCAGCACTTTTCACCGCCTCACAGATTTTACAGCCGCCCACGAGTAGCAAACGCACGCAAGTAAAATAATCAACACTCGAAAAAGGCGCTGAACAACACCATCCACCAGCGCAACAACAACACTGAGTGCGCGAGTATTTACAACTACAACAACACCACCAGCACACCACACACCTTGTAACTTGTTTGTTGTTGTTTCGCTCGCACATCGAGAGCGAGCAGTGCGGGCGCGAGAGGGAGACAACACCACCTGCTCTGTATACAAATGCAGCTTAGGTGAAACGAATTTGCTGGCTGCGCGGTTTTTCCAATTGCCCGAATTTCGCGAAATACATGCAATTCCGAGACGTTGCGCGATTTTAGCTCTAGAAACAGCGATTTTGGAGCATTTTTATGCCGAAACAAGAAAAACCTCGGTTACCAGACGAATTGGTAAATTTCTAGCGATGGGTACTTTCTTAGAGACGGTCAAAAAATGTAGAGATGGGTTAATCTAGGAGCAACTGTATTTTTCCGATTAAAATTATTGGTAAGGCCGTAATTTTAATTAATACACGAAATACAACAAAAGTTTGTATTCTTATTGAATTTTGATTCATATTGCTCTTGATTAAATCTAATAGGCATATTTTACTCCATGTCGTTGTTCTTTTAATGAGTGTAAATTTTTGGTCACACTTGAGTACTTTGCGCAATCTATGAATTGCTTATTTTTTGTTTCAAAACTATTAAAGCGGCTTAGTGCTTCTACTGACTAGATAAACTAAAAATAAACTTGTATTTATTTATGAAAAAAACATTCCTAAAGATATGTCTTCAAGCTCAAACCCTCACTAGCTTAAATTATTCCAGTAACAACAAATAGACAATAGCCGTTTAGTAATAAGCAAGGTATAAAATCTATAAAATATATTCAACATTTAAATAATTATAGTTTTGAAAGTATAATTCGAGACCAGCGTTGCCAGATGTGCCAAAGTGCCACCACTATTTTGGCGATACATCGTTCGGTGTTGAACAACGCTCGAGCCCAAACAGCTGTGGGAAAAATCAATTTTGCAACTCCCTCGCATTTTTCTAAAGAAAGTCTTTCTCCGCGACAAAACCCAGAAAAAAATGACCAACGGAGACTGCTTTGTCGTTTTGCCCGAGAACTGTGCCGAGGGAACGCTGATCATTGGTCGCAATGCAGAAGACGAAAAGAACATAAACGTTGCCTCGGAGGTTTGCTTCTATGACATCGGAGAGGTGTTGGAGGGGAAGGTAAAGAAAGACTCCTCCGAAACGAAGCTCGATCAATGACTCACCACTGAAACACCTCGCCTTTCAGACTGACGGCGGAGCTGCTGTTGAGACGAGCGGCGATGTCGTGCGCATCATATTGCAGAAACCGCAGCCGGGCCTTTGGGGCGGAGACTTTGGGGCCAACGAACGCGTGGCCGTAGGCCTCACCTGGGCGGCAGGTGAAAATGAGGCCAAGGACAGCGACTGCTTGCTGGGCACGGATATTGTGCGGTAAGTTATGAGTAAGCCAATCTCTGGGAGAATCATTGGCAAAACGAATAACTCAATACCTCTAGAGTCTAGACTTATGGGAGACAGAACCAGACAGACAGAACCATATACCTGTTAATTGCACTAGTGCATATCAATTAAAATGTTTTTTTTAAGCACGTTTCAAAACGCAGCTCCGAAGACAGCTCGGTAGCTTAAATAAAACCTAGGAACAATTAATTTTTTTTAACGTAAAACTAATAAAATACGTTAATAGAATTTTTTTTTGGTTCAGGATTAAATTCTCCAACGAGTTCTAAACATATTTTTTTCATAGTAAAATTGCAAAATTAGTTTTAAGATGCATTCGACAAACCAACGTACAATTTATACAGTACAAATTTTTAATCGAACTGACGACCTTTTATTATCTTTGAAACGTTCTGTTCATCTTTGCTGAATTTCGAAAATTCTGATAATATTTGTGAATATGGCTCTCCTTGTTATTTAATTGATTTTTTAAATTTAAATCGTAGAGAGGAACCAAATTTATGGACAATTATAAGGAATGTTGCAAAAGAAACTATATGCCTTGATAAAAAATAATACGAAGAAGAAAAAACCTAGAGAAGAGAACTACCTAGCTAGCGCCCAAATTGTGTAATATATTTGTAAAAATTTAAATGGGATTTTGTTTTTATTATCAGTATTATTATGATCTACATGCCAAAAATTATTCAAATCGGACCACTCATTAAAAACTTATGACAAAATATTGTAGACGCTGCTAAGTGGCGACTTGTAATCTCGGAAAAGTCAGTCAGTATGCTTTAGTTTGGTTAGTTGGATTTCTAATAGTAAAGTCTCTCTACTACGGCGTTCTTTTTGGGAACAGAGAGATGCATAACCTTTATTATAATAAGCCTTTCAAGGAACACGGAAGACTAAACCTATTATTTTAGACTATACTAATTTTTTAATCTTTATTTTTAGTTTGACTTTGGCTGTGGCCAAAGACGTGGACGATGCTGTAGATCGCATTGGAGCTTTGGTGGCCAGCCACGGCCACGACAACTCCAAACTTAACTTCATAGCTTGTGATGCCGCTGCCGCCTGGTTTGTTAGTTGCTCGGGCAAGGTCTGGGCCGCCGAGAAGTTGGAGGCTAGCTTTATGCGCCTGCCCTCAGGCGGACTGGCGGTGACCACTGTGGTTAACAAGTCAAGCGAGGGACTGGACGAGGCTGCTAGTTTTGCCGCTGCCCACGATGCAGAGGCCCAGGCACCGGCTGAGGATTGGTGCGGACCCAAGCCAGCTGGTGATGGAACATACACCCAGCACGATATGTTTGAGACGCTGCGAGCCGCCAGCAACGCGAGCAGCTCGCGTGCGGCCACCGTTTCGGTGTTGTCGGGCAAGGGAATCTCGTGCCATTGGTTCACCGGCACGCCCAACGCCGCCGAGTCTGTGTTCAAGCCGTTTGTTTTTGCTCCCAAGCCGAGGATCTCGCCGTTGACCCAAGTGCAGGTGGATGCGGACTTGACGCTGCTGCACAAGCTCCACTCGCAACGAAAGCCGGCGGCCTTGGAGCACTTGCGTAGCTTGGAACGGTCCTGCGTGGACGAGCTGAACAACTACTTCTCTCTGCAGGATCACGCTAGTGACGAGCTGGATGAACTCCTCAAGGACTGTGTCGAGGCGGAGGTCAAGTTCTATCGCTAGACAAACGAATACTATCTATATGGATACTCCAAAAACTAGCTTGCAAGCTCTATTGAGCCTCGGGATTTGACTTGAGCATTCTTATGGCATTACCAAATAGGCTATAGTCGGCAAAACATTTTCTTGTGCAATCTCTTATTGATTTTATTTCCTTTAGTTTTTATGCTTTTGCGTGATATTTAAATTATTATTTATTCTCCTTCAGTGGGCAATCTCTGACTTGAATTTAAAGTATTATTATGTGACATTCCAGGCTTAGTTTAACGATTTACATAATTGCATTAAAATATATATGAATACATACACAAATATACATTATATACGGCTCTCAAATAAACGCATAAAATCTGCATTTATATAAATAGTTCAGATGTTAATCTTTTTTGGATACATTTTTTATGGAATATGATTATAAATAGAAAATTATTTTGAACTAGAGCTGAGTAGAGCCACGTGTAAATAATCTGACTGACTAAGTGCCTGTTTAATCAATTTGTATTTCGCCAGAGTTGAAACACCATCCCAAAGATACAGACACAACAAAAGCTTTCCTTACTAATAGTTATCTGTGTATTTTTAGACGGATTCTACAACCAAATTGGTCTTAAAAATTGTGCTATCGCTGTGCAAGGCCTCCAGTTTTGTTATTTCAAAGGCCTGATAGATCTCACGGAAGTCCATTATGTTGCGGGGGTCGCTATCCATCCAAAAGCGGTCAAACTCAAAGAACAGATAGCAGTACAGCTTGTGGAAATCCTCAACGGTGCTAAAGTCCTGCCTGTGCTGCACCACCAGATTGTAGAAGTGAGTTTTGGCGGCGCCCGTTTTAACTAGATTGAAGGCCATGGAGGTAAGGTTAATGCCAACAATGGCGTAGGTGTAGCCGAGGGTGGGATGCATCGAGTGCAGGAGCACATGCTTGGCGGCGTCGTTGTAGGCAGTGGCGAAGTACAGCAAGTTCTCCAGGCCGAGCATGCCCATTCCACGAAAATCAGTCTTGGGGTCGTCGCCCTGAAAGCCGATGTCCTGCCACTGTTTGCTCACGCGTCCGGTGAGAGGAGTTTCCGGCATCAGGAGCTGCCATAGTCGCAGCAACTTCTGTTCGTGGTCCAGGTTATCCGAGTCGTACTTCTCCGCCCGCAGCTCCTCCACCTGATGCATAAGACGGCGGTAACCCCATATACTTGTCACACAGGTGCCGAATAAACGCGCAAAGTCCGGATGCACATTGTTCTTTATACGTTTCGCTTGCATCACAATACGAGCAGCGCGAGGAGCTGGAAATATCAGTATTATATTAAATATTGATTATGTTATAAGCATTTTGGGTTTATTTCTTAATAGAAAACTTCTGCAACATAGTATTACGAAAGAATTATATAAAATATAATATAATCCAAGATTTCTAAAGCAATTCGCCTGTTAAATTTTTGTCTATAATTAAAATAAAAATAGTATTTCATGACCTTTTTGAGAAATAAAAATAAGTTAGGATGAGAATTCTCTAAATTCCATGATGTAACCAATTATTAATTGCTTCACATTTTTGAGTTACAAATTTTTATATAATTTGAAATTTACGATGATACCAAAACATATATTTCTTATAGTTTGAAAACAAAGCTTAATACAATGATTTAAAAATTTCCTTGGACCTACCGAACTCCAACAGCTCCGCGTTGTCCACATATGGTGCCGCCTCATCAAGGTCAAGTACAAGCCGACGAATCTGCGGTCTTTTGGATAAAGTTAGGGACCTTTCCACCTGGCTAGTCCGGCTGGCGCCTGCTCTGGCACCATAGCAAATCCTCTGGAGCTCTGAGAGCCTGGTGAAGGCGTGAAGGAACCACTTTATAAACGGCCTTATATAGCTAAAAATAAACGGCAGTAGTCTGTCTATAAGAAACATTTTGCTAATGGTATGACGAGAACTCTTTGTGTTTGTGGGAGATTTCCCGATATTGTTTGTTTGTAGCACGTGTTGCCAGGGCAACACGACTATGTTAGCTTTCGATCACAGCTTAAATGGTATCTATTGCACTTTTTGTTAACTTTTTTGATTCGCTTGCATTGCAACAATAAACAAAAATCCAATGTTTTTCCTAAAAAAAACATAAAGCAGCTGATCGGCCAGTGCTGCCTCGTGCCAAAATATTGGCGACATTCTACTTTTTCTACAGTTATTTTTAAATATACATATATATATTTCAAGTACATACATTTTATGTATTGTATATACTTAAGCATTTTTAAGATTAAATTATTTTCAAAATGTTCGTTTTCAATATATATTCATATCCGTAAAAGCCATGAAATAAGCTTTATTTTCCTTATTCTATCGACGTATGCAAATAAAAATACATCTTGATACAATAAGAACTGGTATACTATATCAAAAATTTAAATTTTATTATTAAATTTATTATTAAAATAATATGATTTGTAATAACAGGAAACCCCCTAATATATTTCAGTATTTTTGGCCAAATAAGCTGATTAATAAACGGTCACACTGGTGTTATCATACCAAACAGTTACCAAAATATAAAAATTATTAAAAACCACTACGTTTAGCACACAAAATCTTTAAATCGCTTTTACTAAACTGTTGAAATGATATCACAATTATTGCCTTCGCGTCGAAATAGATAGTTTTGCTGCTAGGCTTATAAACCAATCTAGTGTGGTTTTCACTAATGAAGTAACCAGTAGTAGTTACGGGTACCCTTGGAAATTTATACTGTTCAGACAAAATGAAGCGTAGAGCCACAGTCAAAGACGCAACCCCAAAAACCTTACCATATAAAGTGATACAAAATGAGTTTTCCAAGCCCAGTACTGAGGAAAAAATTAGGATCTTGAACGACAAAATGGATATGGTTCTCCAAAATCAAAAGAAAATGCTTCTTGTTTTACGGTAATTTTGAAAAATATAAATTTTCATTTCAATGTACAATAACTCATTTATTTGTTTTTAAGTCAACTGACTACTCAGGAAACCGATTCATTGGGACCCCAAATAGTTTCGGTGAATAGCATACGACACCTAATGAGTCCTACGTCAGGAGACTGGTCACCTCAAGAATTCCCATTGACGGAACTGGAACAAATAGAGAAAATGGAAGAGGAAATGAATGATCCGATAAAACAATCTATATATGTTCGTACAAGTTAATTTTAATTTTAATAGTAAATATCATAAGTGTTTCTTTCATTACCTTCCAGATCCGAACCATGCAGGAAATTCTGAAACCCGGAGGAACACTCCGTCCTGGTGGTCTGAAAAAACAATTCCATCTAATACTCGCAAAAGATTTTTTGATTGATTTCAATTTTGATGGCATTCACAACAAGATTCCTTTAAAAAAGTTTGGAAATTTTAATAACGCTTTATTCGGTATTCATAATCTTTAGAACCTGCCATGTTTTCTTTTATTAATGTGCACAATTTACTTTGCAGAAGTGCAGAAGCGTGATGGATACTTCAGAGACGACTACGTCTCTGAAATCAGACTGGCATTTCGTGTCTATAAAAATCGTAGACATAAAAGTATTTCTGATGCCCGGAAAAAAATCAGAGAAGCAATGGCCGGTATTGAGCCCCAAGTAAAATTTGAAGAGTTTCTGTATCCAGAATCAAATTAGCATAATTTCAAAATGTATGCATTGATTAACTAAAAGCCTGTAAAGAGAATTGTATATAAATGAAATTATTTTGTAAATCAGCCAAAAAAGTGTTCTTCTATTAAGTAACATATTATTTGAATGCACAGATTTTGTACGAAAAACATGTAATATGTAACAAATGGGCGTTGCATATCTTAGATTAGTTTAAAGTGGTCAATTTAGCTACATTGTATTAGCTCAATTAATCCATATCATCTTTAAACCCGCGAGCCATGTCGATTAGATAGAGCTATGTCTATGGGCTCGGGTCAAAAAGCTTTCAGCTCATGTATATATTGCCTAGTCGAAAACCTTTATCGCTCAGTAATATACCAGCTCTGGACGCGGCTGATTCTGTACAGGCTGATCGATAAGACATCCGAAATGCGTGTAGATAATGGAAGGCTGTGGGGAAAATTACACGATGGTGGGTGATACAAATACAAGTTTAACGTGCTTATATCTTCCATTATCGATATTTGTATTCTTCAGGAAAATATGAGGTGCGCAGTGTCACCCAATCCGATTTGGATGAGGCGCTAGATGTGAGTAACATTCGGACTAATAAAACTTGGTATTTAAGCCATCAAAAAAGTTATTAGAACTTAAAGAACTCGTGCAGGTCCCTTATTCAAATTCAACTGAAATTATTATCGATAAGCAAGGCAAACGAGTCGTTCGAAGTTGACTGCCCACCACCCAATTAGGTGAACTGCAACGCAAGACGTTATGGCGTCGGTGGTGTAATGGTTAGCATAGTTGCCTTCCAAGCAGTTGACCCGGGTTCGATTCCCGGCCGACGCACTTTAATTTTTTTTTTAAAATGTTTTATAGGCTTTGCATATTAATTTAATTTTAAATAATCTAATATATACTACAAAAATGTAGTTCATAATTCCGTCTGGCGAGGATCACTTCTTCCTGAAATTCCCACCAATTTGGAAATCTAATACATTGGCAAGCGCTTCGTTGAACTAATTAGCCCTTTGCACACATTTTGCGATTATGTTAAACACACATAACATTTAATATAATAGAAATAAAGTTAAGTAAAAACGAATAATAAAAGTTATTTTAAAAGAGTTTGTGCAGGTTCCACTCACGGCATAGCTTAGTTTATTCCAAGGTTTTAATAAAAAGTTCAATGTATACTTTTTTATTTTAGGCTCTTGACTTCTCATTCTTTCTCAATGAATCGGTGTGTGTTGCATGTGAAATTAATTTGCCGGAAAATCTACAAGCTCGACAGGAGTTGCGTGAGTTGTGTAGAATAACCGCTCTTGATGGTGTTTCTTTGCTAGTCAAAGAGGTTTCGACTAATCGTGTGGTGTCCGTGTCCTTTAATAAAGTTCAGGTGGGTATAATATTTTTAAATATTACATTTATCATACATATATCAAATAAAATTACAGTTCACACCACCACCTGGCGAGGAGCACTTCTTTTTAAAATTCCGCAATGAAGCGGTCAAAAGTCCTCAGGCCAGGCGTCTAATGGACTTCATGATCGAAGTGGACGGAAGAATCGATGTGTGCGCCATGTACAATATGGATTGCTTCTGTGAACTGATGTTTCTGGCCACTTTGCCGAGCCACGAGCGACTGGGTTTGGGACGCTCTTTGGCCGAGTTCACGATAGAACTGACTAAGGAGCTGGCTGAGGGAAAGGCTCTGGATATTGATGAAAAGCTGAGATCAAAACGCCCAGCTGCTGTCACCGCACTTTGGACCTCGAGTTTCTCGCAGAAAGTGGGAAAAGCCACCAACTTTAAAGTTCTTAACGCGGTTTCCTATTCAGAATTTACGTACAACGGCAAGCGTTTTGACGAGCGCATTAGCCCTTTGCACAAATTCTGCGAGCACGTTATATATAAATTTTGAGACAAGAAAAAAATTATGAAATGAAAGGTTACAAAAAAAATTTGGTTGTGCGTCGCCTAGAATTGAGCCCCGGTTACCTGCTTGAAAGGCAACTATGCAAGTACCATGTATAAATACATTTACTTCAAAAACTATTTTTTAAAGTGCTCTTTTAGTTGATTTAATTTTTCCTCTCTGTTAATGGTACTAAAAAATTAATATATGCAAGACATTTGTAAAAAAAAAATTTAAGTGCGTCGGCCGGGAATCGAACCCGGGTCAACTGCTTGGAAGGCAACTATGCTAACCATTACACCACCGACGCCATGACGCCCTGCTTTGCAGTTTATCTAATTGGGTGGTGGGCAGTCAAACACAAGCAATTCGTTAGATATTCTGCCTTGCTTTTCGATAGTATGTGGTATTTGTAATTATAATAAATAATAAACACTGCGTCTCACAACACACTGTTATTTTTACATTACACTGTCATTTTTACGTCACACTGTTATTTTTACGTCGTTATCGTATGTAATATGTGCCCAAGTCACTTAGCTGGGATAGCTTTATTTGTGAGAAACAGACACAATGAACAGGGCTACAAAAAACGAATTTTCTTCTCCAAACTGAGGAAGCTGTGCAGAAGCAGCGGGCTAACTCTAGCGAAGCTAGCCAATCTCCTGCACTTTTGTTTAAATCATTAAATCATGAAATCCTAGTACTCAGATCGGTTAAGAGATTCACTAGTCGAAAAATCGAATTCTTTGTAGTGTTACCGAAGTTGTTCCACTGATGCTGCAGGAAGTCGTCCAGCATCCTGCCAATGGCTATAAATAGCTTCACCAGCTCTTAGCGGGCGCCCTTTTTTCTTTCTCCCCATAACAGCCAGCGCACCATCTCCGCTGTAGGTGCCAAGTGGCTGGTGGACTTGGAGGTCTGTGGTTTCCCAAAGAAGGGCTCATCGGAGATCTTTCTGGGTGTTCTGCTAAAAAGATACTTCTATTAAAACATAGTAACCAAATGCTTTTGGCCAGAACTTACTTTCTTTGTGAGGACACGCCCGGCAGGATGTCCATTTAGGGAGCGAAGTCCCACTCGGCAAGATACTTTTATTAGTACACCGTAACCAAATAACTTTTGGCCAGAACTAACTTTCTTTGGGCTTCCCGATTGGACTATCTCCAGCACTTCCACTATTCCGCTGGTTTGCTCTGTTGTGGTATTGCTTCCTGTGGGTCAAATTCCACAATAATGGGCAACTTGGATAAGGCTTGCACTTGACGTCCTTTTTCATCTGCTCTCTGCAGGCGTTTTGAGTTTAGCTTCCACTTTTAATTTTTCGTTTCAACAGAGGTTTTCCCCGAACTCACCGAAAGTTTACAGTTTTCATTCTTTGCGCGGCGGCTAACGGCGTTCTTCGAAATCCACTCGCGAAATCTGATATTTTTTTAGTATTTCTTTAGCTCATCTGAGTACCGCGAATCCTAACGACTCGTTCGATAGTCTGCCTTGTATATCGATAGAAAGGTGAATCGGTATGCGGACACACTTACAATTTCAGTTAAAATTTGAATTGCGAGGTCAAAGAAATCATAAAGGGCCAGGGAAAAATAAAATATAAAATAAAATGGTCATAAAGTTCCGCGAATTCCATCGGCATGCATTTTAAATAATATTAAAACAAATTAAGAAAAATCGCCTTGACTATCAGATTTGCTTCGACTTGCACTTAAATGGCGCCAAGGAAGGAGCAAACTTCGGCACGCCTACGTTTATAGACATTTTGTCTTATATTGGTGTGAATAATTTGCATGGGTCGGCTGAGGCAGAGGCTGAGCAGACCCTGCAGTACCAATCAACACTTTTTGGGAACTGAATCACTGCAAAAAAGTCATCACCGAGCGCTCAATTTGTATGAAAAGTGTTGATTTTAACATAGGCATGTTCTACGATTCACCACACATTGAGCACCTTTTAAGTGCGTTTCTAAGCACTAAAAAGCGCTAAAAAGCTGCTTTTCAAGAAAACGTATACTCGAACTTATAGTTTCTATGACACCTACATATGTACATTGTACGTACATATGAGTGATTCTTTGTGAAACGTTTCGAGTTTTTCATTATGGTCTCAGCACGATTTCTTATTTTTATCACGAGATTACACCATTTATTAAGGATTTAAAAAAAGAAAAAAATTCCTTTGACAGAAGCAAAGATATTTCGATAATTAATTTTGTTTACTCTATTTATAACTTTAAGTTAAATTGTGTAAAAAAATTATAATAATACTTAAATTTTAGTACAATAATAATAATACATACTTTTTTTTTATTTTTGCGAATCTTTCAGATAAAACTAACATCCATGTTTAAAATATAGTCCAACGTTAAAATAAATTTTCTGGAAACCGGCATCTAAAATTTTTTTTAAAAAGTGTGATGACATGGTCCTTGTTGAACCCTGAAAATTACGTAATAAAAACAAAAATTCTTTTTGAAACCAGAAAAACTAGATACGTTTCACAAAAAATCAATCATATATTGTAATCGTTTGTTTAAAAAATATTAATTCTAATTCTTCTAATTTATTTCTATTATTTTGTCCGATCCTTTGTATGGGAACCTTTCCGTCTTATATACTTATCCGAATAGCTCACTGGTCATTTCGTTTCATTCAACCAAAGCGACTAAATCAAAGCGGATACAAGTAAATTATCGGGTGTATCCGAAAATGATTTACTCTTTACAATTTTTTTGTTAACGATGTCATAGAATTTCAGGCCCTTTTTGTAACGCTACAGAAGGGTGTAATTATAATTTTTCTGAATAGCTTTTAAATAAAGAGGAATCATACATGGTATTTTCGCTTTAACAAGTTGTATAAAAGAGTAGAAACACATTTTAAAATTGATTCAACTAGTTATTGGATTTTAATTTACGTTTACGTGTTCATACAAGAAGTTTTTAGGTCAATTCAAGATTGCATATTGAACAATGAAGGATTGCATCAATATTTTGGATGGCGAGTTTCAGATTCTGTCCGTGACTCCAAACATGTATGATGAAGTCGAAGAGGTAGGTAGTTGATAAAGGGTTTTCAATTATGATAACTATGTTCCCTGCAGCTGCTGGTCAATATATCCGTAAACAATGAATTCGGATGCCTGATCACCAGTCTGAGGGAGTGCCCTTTGGCCATTGCCGAGCTGCGTAAATGGATAAGATACATCCTATCCTTAGGAATTTCCTTCGCCATACGCCATGTGGAAAGTTTGAAAATTGTATCGGGAATCGCCAATATAATATTTGTAAGTAGTTAGGGACCACCAAACACATAAGTAACCATATATAAATACGCCCTTACAGAATGTGAAAAGAATGAGCTCATATTATGATATAAGAGCCCAGATCAAAAGCCCAAACATGATTAAATACATCAAATTGTGGGATGCTGTCGATTCGAGCTTCGATGTCAATGAGTATTTTCACATGGACAGTACTATGGATGTAGAATACATGGCCACTTTGCCGGATTTTAGGCGACGCGGCCTGGCTAAAATTTTGTGCCAGCATTCCATCGATTTCGCGAGGCTAATGGCACGGGGAAAGTTTCCTCCGGAGGTATTTGCCCGATTGTCTAAGGAGATGCAGATTGAAAGACCAAGGGCCGTAGTCACCGTAGCCACTTCTCCAACTGCTCAAAAAATGGGCCACAGTCTGGGTATGAAAGCTGTCCATAAATGGCACTTTTCTGAGCTAAGAAATTTAGGTAATATAATTACGGAGCCCATTGACGGAGAGTCTATTCAATATGCAGAGCTGCAAGTAATCGAAGTTTAATATGGCTTTAAAGGATTAATAAATCATGTCAAAAATATGTAAAACAAAAAAAACAATATCTAAATAAAGATTAAGAGATAATGCGTCTCTTTTCGTGGTATCTTTTTGAAAATATGATTGAAAATACCAAAATGTATTAGTCTGGGCTGATATTGCAAACTAACATGTGTTAGTTTACTAATTATTTGTTGTCGAAATAGCTTGACAGCTTAGAACACCTACATATACATACTTCAAGATCCCAGTGAATAGAATGTCGCGCAGATACTCTCAAGCATTAGTTACGTCTTACTGCATTCCGTTTTTACTCCTATAAGCTTGATTTATTGTAAAATTATAATTTCACATCTTAATTTTAAGAAAATACCTAAACTATAATGAGCATTCCTCTTCAATGTATTCATCACATCTTGCTCGACAATGAACGACTGCGTCAGCATTTTGGGTGGGGAATTTCAACTTCTCCGGGTGACCCCAGAATTATACAATGAAGCTGAAGAGGTGAGCACAAAAACATCCGAAAAAACTTATGGATCTTATTTTCCCTGTAGATATTAACTGATTTGTCGATAAACGAGGAAGTTTTATGCCTTACCACCAATCTAAAGGATTCGCCAGAGTCGGTTAAAGAGCTCCGGACACTGATTCGACATATACTTTCCTGTGGAATTTCGTTTGTCATTCGGCAGGTGGCAAGTGGAAGAATTGTTGCTGCCCTGGCCGGTATAATATTCGTAAGTTAATCCAGAACTGCTAAACATAAAAACTAAATTAGTTATCATCCTCAAAAACAGAACTACAAAAAAGAATCTTCTTACTTTCAAATAATGGCTCAGTTTAAAAGTCCCAGCATGATCAGATACAGGCAATTGATGGATGCCATCGAGAACAGCTTTGATATGTACAAGGAGTGGAAGGTGGACAGTATTGTTGAGGTGGAATACTTGGGTACTAAGCCTGAATTCAGAGGACGTGGCTTATCAGGAATGCTAAGCCAGTGTATCATTAGTTTTGGAAAGCTAATGTCGCAGGGAAAACTTCCTCCGGATGTATTCGCCCAACTGTCAAATGAAATGCAAGTTAATAAACCCGGTGCCATATGTACAATTGTCACATCGCCATCATACGTAAAGTACGCACAGAGGAGGGGTCTTAAAGTGGCCCACAGGTGGACTATTTCAGACTTGAGATCCTGGGGAGGAAATACCTTAGGACCTAGTGACGACGAGGCCTTTCAGTATGCAGAGCTTTATATGATAAAGTATTGAAACGTGAAAGTCTGGAATATAAATAGTTGCGAACCATAAGAAGTGAATCCTCTTTAATGTAAGTCCTGACGAAAATTGTAATAAATCAACGTGCGAAAATAATCACGTGTTTAATCCACTTATGAACAAAAAATAACGTTGCAGTCCAGTTTTCTGATATTGAACCCCACCAAGCATGACCTAACCGTAGTATACTTATGTTTAGAATATGTGAATGTTTGGGCATATTTTATAAAAACTTAAAGAACATTTTCTTAATTTTCCTAGTCGGCGGAAACAACATACCTTTTTACTTTACAAATAAAGTGCACAAAAATCCGCCAACTTCTTCAAAGGAGGTGTTGTAAAATCACTTGATTCGCTTAGGGATCTAAGAAGTCCTGGTCTTATATTAAGTAAGTAGTTTATTTTTATTTAGATATCCTATCGCTGAATTAAAAATGGCTTCGGCTTATATAGATTGTTAAAAATAATCAGGAAATTTCCAAAGTTTTAATCCTTGCTGAATCCACTCAACGCTCAGCTCACCCCTTTATAAATGTCTATCCTCATTGTTGATTTCAATTTTTGCACTTTCGAAAAAAAAACTTTTCAAATGGGATTAAAATTTACACAATTCTAAGCTCGGTGAGGCATGCACTCGAAGGGATTTCAATTTCCCGACGTTTCCCTAATGCCCGGTGTCAACACAGCGGATGGACTGCAGGGGCAGAAAATCGGGCGAGCAGTGTGATAAGCATTTCGATCCTACTTTGCCTCTACCTCAACAATGCGCTGGGGTTTTTAATTAGAATTCGAATAACAAAAAAAATTGAAAGTACTTCGCGAAAAGGACAAGGGGAGTGGGAAAGGCTGAAACCCCTTGCGGCAGGGGCAATTGTGTGTAATGATATCGTAGATCATACAGGGCTCGTATATAGGGTTGTCTGCCAAAGAGGTGGTTACGCTTGATTGTGCTATATGACGTGTGCATAATTCGCCGAGTGCCGACCAATTACGGCCAGTTCAGCTAGTGGCAGTTGGTTTGAAAATTACATAGAGTACATTTAATAATAATATAGAACCTGCTACTTATTGCGGTTAGGGCTTTGAGAGACGAAACAACAAAACTTCTTTTGATTTATTTAGCCCGGACGAAGTCCAACGATCAAGTTCAATACAAATGATATTATTTTAATATATGTGCTAAAATAATAATAAAAAAATGTTAGCAATTGGATCTGACAATCAAATTTTTTTTGATGAAAGTACCATGTGAACTAAGTATAGTTGGGTGGTTGATTTGACATTAGGGTTCCTATTATGGAGTAAGATAGTTTAAGTTTATGTTACAAATAATATAAGTATATAGCTGCTTTCCGAGATGTTTAAATTCCACTCTTAGTGTGGCTAATCGGTAAAATTAAAATTTTCTCCTTATAAGCGTTTTAAATAACAATTTATTGCAATAGCAAAGCATTCTATCTACTATCATGGCTATGATCTCCCGGAAAAACCTCATAGCTTTCGGGCCACAAATATCCGCTGCAAGACAGCTTGATAAAATTGAAAACTAATTTGTTTATACAGCTGCACAAAACGAGCAGCGCCGGCAACGATAACAACGCAGAAACAAAGACGAAGGAATGGGGGTAGGCGGTAGGCTTCTGGCAAAGGCAAAACAATTTGTTTATCATGGTAGCCTTAGTGAGGTTGTCTGATGATGAGGCAACACACACAGAGGATGGGCACGGGAAAAAGGACAACAAACAAACAGAGTTCGGGCGAGGAGCAGGACGAGGATGAGCCCGGCAACGCATCAGGGGAGGGCAGGATACTCGGGATGCACAGAAAAATAAAACAAATTCATTTTTAAAAGAAAAATTGTGTTTACATAGACAATTTTGTTAATAGCGATATTCTTTTTGTGGTCGTATTCCTCCTTTATTTTTGTTGATTTAAATAATATTAATATTGAAAAATTTTATTTTCTTTAAAGAAAAATTCTAATAAAATATAACAGATAATGTTATAGTTTATTGAAAAACTTGTATTAGTTCAACTATTTAGTTACACTACGAAATTAGAATATTAAACTAAGAAGATACAAAATATAGTAACAAATTGTTTATTATTTTGTTTCGTATAGTACCTTGAAATTGGCATCAATAAATACATAATATTACAAAAGATTTTGGTTGCGTTGTTGCCTTAAGTTTACCTTAATTACGAGCATCTCGTATAATATATAAATAATAAAGAAATGTTCGTCAAGAAACTAAACACATAGTTGGTATAATTTTCCCTGCGAGTGTAGTCTATTTTGACACCCCTGTCTCGGCTGAGCCCCGAAAAATATGCAGTATATACTGCAATCGTCTTTTAATGGAGTTGTTACCAAAAAAGGGAAAGAGGTAATCCTAGACAGTGCAAATATTTGAAGTTGTACTCTGCTAATGCTTAAAAATTATGCTGGTTGACAAATTCCGCTGGGGCTTACTTGACAGGCAAACTATTCTGTATATTTTTTACCATGTTTGCTGAGCTCGTCTTGGTTGCAACAAATCATTAATTAGACTTAGGAGTAGTACGAAGTAATCCAGACGATGGAAACGACGCCGGCGAGATCCTTATTTCCGCACATCACTGCGGAACTCGAGCAGCTGCCGTCCCAACCCCCCTCATGGACCTCCGCCCCCTGGGGCCAAACACTTGTCTACATCAAACATCAACACCTTCCATTGTCAAGCACTTGGGCAATAATTCCGCTTAAACAGATAAACGAGCGCTCGAATCAAAAAACAATTGAGTGCGCTCACAATGGGAAAATGGTACAGAGCATGGCCGGAAACATCAAGTTTTTCACCCTCCCCAACCCCTGGGTAAACTTAATAAGCTTATAACACCCCGAAATGCAACCCTGTTTGGCTAAAACTTTCAGCTTGCCGCGCTCCGATTGGCGGACACTTGGGCACCGCCCCTTTGGCTGTATCTTTTGATGTGGCGCCGCCATTGAAAGATACAATATATGGCACACTATCCACCCCTCGCGGTACTCTTCCTATCAGACAGGTCCTGTGGAAGTTCGAGGACCGATTTCCAGGTTCAGGCATTCGCTTCCCGGCAGTCTTTGAGTTCGCAACACAACGCGCTTCGATGTCAGAGCCCGCGGTATCGTTTCATCTATAAGGATTATTGGGGTGTTGATTACCGGGAAATGCAGTAATTGAATTGTGTGTGTGGAAATATTTGGTCCTTGGGTGATGTGCAATTTGAAAGTGTAGTGAACCATTTCTAAGAAATTGGTAACTTGTTTGGAATTAAATCTAGTCAAAGGATTATTTGGATACTTCTGGATAGTTCTGGTAAGTATATAGTATTAAATAAATATAGGAATTAAAATGTGTTTTGGCTTGTTAAAGAAGAAAGTTATGGAATATTTTCATTTATAGTTTGTTTTCTTAATTAAAACTATTTATTTCATGTTAAAAATAAGCGTGAATAACAACATAATATTCAAAAACTTAATAATAATATTATCCACGTTAATAGACTTAATCAGAAGCAAACAATAATTGTAACTACCTTAAACCCAAAATAAAGTAGTTAGTTTTGTTCATATGCATATTCATTATGTACATTTTGAGATTAATAATTTTCTAAATCTAAGCTATTGGTGTAGAGATCTATTTTTAGATGTTACAATTACTAGGATAATCTGTGGTATCGAGTAAACGCCCTTTAAAATCGTTG